TCTCCTATGTTAGGTTTGGAATTTTTTAGATATTAAATTCAAGAAAAGCTGTTTGGAAGCTGTACATATGTGTTTAGGGAGATAATAGTTTTAACTCCAAGGTTGCAATCAGTTTCCATTGCCAAAATTGCTCAGCAGCTCAGCAACTTTGCTTGAGCAGTCTTGGGAAAAACTGACTTTTATAGTATTTAGCACCCAGAAGCTGAAAGGAGGACTGTGGGCCTTTCATTATTTTTATTACCATTATCCTTCTCTTCTCTCTGTTTCGCTCTCTTTCTTTGTATTTTAAGTTTAAATTTTCTAGGTAATTAAGAGAAGTAGATTGTATAAGAGGGGAAAGAAAGTCAAGAGATCATGTGGGCCTGGATAGGTCATGCTAACAGTGAAGATGTCACTGTGAGGTCAGGAAATCCTTAAATTAGAAGCATAATTTTAATCTCTAATTTAAGCCATGGATTAGAATCAAAAGGACTTTTGATTCATGGACCTGTAAGAATATTTCACTGGGGCTGTGAACTGCACAAAGGACACAAGCACACTGACAAGGGACTTGTTTTGTCTCAGTGCCTTTTCTTGACCCCTTCAAAATAATCTGTGCTGTTCTTGGAAGTTGAGCAGGCAAAACTTCAAAATCCCTGATTTAGACAAATGCTATATTTTGTAAGCACAGACAAGACAACTCCGAACTGAACTCAGTGGGGTAAATTATCAACTGCTTTGGAAGATCAGAAGTCCAACATTTAACTCATTGGGTTTGAACTGAGCTACAGAATTTACATCAGTGGCAGATCTGGGCCACAGAATTCTCTTTCCTCACATATGAGGAAAGTATGCACTGAATTAGAAGGTGCACAACCTCCTCATTTTATGGCCGCCACAATGGAGCTAAGTATTTGTTTGCTTTTTAAATTCAGGGGAGGAGAAAAGAAACAAGCTAATCTCATAAAGGTTCACCCCACCCTTTGCTTGGCTTCTCTTTCTTGGCGATTCTCCCTGGTAGCAGCTGGCTGGCTGTTTTTCTTCTGCAATTGCGCTCATGACATTTCCTGCAACTAGGTTTTTTTGAACGTTTCCAGCAGTCATTTCAGTCCCTGGCCCCCCCTTGTTTTGGCCTCCTCCCCCACTAACCATGGCCTTGTGCCTAGTTCCCAGAATTGTAAGTAGCATATTCCTATCGCAGGTCCATGCGTATACTCTATATGCTCTCAACAGATAAAATGAATTTCTGTGGCTTGCTTATAAGTATGACTAACTTACCAAGAGTCAGTGGCTAGTGTAAGGGATGCTGAACAGCTATATTGGCATAGACAGTGTGAACAGAGACAGTCTCAAGCTACCTGCTCCATCAGACAGGAATGGACACGGTTGCATTCCTGGCTACTGCTGGCCAGTATCCTGGCTATTGCTTCATTTAACACGTTACTCTTTTTTTGAAGAAGCAGCATGTATCCCTCTCCATGCAGAAGGACTGATAAAAAAAACTGAGATAAGGGAGATTTCGTATACACATCCTAGATTACTTAGTGTACCAGTACTTTCCCTCTCTGCTGTACTAAAAACTGCATACACTTTCCTTTCATAAGCCTTTATAAACAGTCAAGTGACTTAATCTTTTAACGTAAATGCTTACTTGTATACTAAGCTCTCTGTTATCAATGTCATTAAATCAATACCCTCAGTGCTTCAGGATCCAGGTCACATATGAGCTGTCACACATAGAGTTTAACTTAAGAAATGCAGTATTGAGACACTGTAAATTTGTTTTTCGTAGATTAGCGAGTACTTTAAAGTTGAGCTGTTGAAGATCAGTGAAAGCTTATTCCCCGTTGTAGCCAGTTTCTTATATCTATGGTGGGTTTCTATTCTAATGACGGTTTTGCTGCAGAACTTCCATGAAGTCTAAGGTAAGTGTTAGATGCAGTTACCATGAATGGCACTGCAAAACCTTGTGAGGCCTACATTGTATATTTTAAAATATGGAATATATTCTCTGAAGAGAAGTAAATTGACAAACTGGCATTTACCCTTCTTGTACACACATCATATATCTATTCTTTTCCTGTGTTGAGTATGTACAAACTTCTGGACAGCTCATAGTCCAGAGATTATTTAGCCTCACTTGGTGTACCACTTTATCTAATGAGTGACATCTGTGTTTAGAGTTAAAGACAGAGAAAAACAATAATTTGTCTACTGCCAGAGACATTTAATTGAGGCTAAACCATACATCTGGGTTTTATTTGTGTAAAAAGATACACAACCGAAGTACACATCTCATTCCAACCTGACCCTTCAGTGCTCTTTCCATTAGCGTATTAAGAATCGAGATTTATCTAGAGCTATCTTGCAAATAGGAAATGGTGGTTATTTTATGATCTTAGTTGCTATTATAGCACATCTCTCTCTCTCTCTCTCTCTCTCTCTCTCTCTGCCATTGTGTGTCTGTCTGTCATACAAGTGAAGTAAGTTGTAATGCAAATTGACCCTATGAATTCTTTCAGTTGCTTTCTTCAGGAAAGCTGTAGACATGATGGACATAACATTATACAGCATAATGGGCAAACATTATGCTACATGCCCTTGCTGCTGGTAAAACAAAATGAACTCTGCCAGTGAAACTCTAGAGTAACTGAAGTCACAGAAGGCAGTTTTCCAGCTGTGGGTTACGTATTGTTAATCTTCTGCAGTGTCTAAACTGGTGGTCTTCAGAAATGTTCTGAGCATCAAGAAGTGGGATTAAGGGAAGGAAGCAGTTTCTAAAAGGCAGTTCATATTTCATAAGAAGTTTGGAATTTGGAAGGTGTGGAGAACCCCTGCTATTATTAAAAGATTAACTTAATGATAGGGGACACTCTGAAATACACCTAACAAGGAACCCATGAGTCAGATCTTAGCCTTGCAAAGGGCCTTTGGGGGGCAGCCAAGGAGGAAGAAGAACTCATCTGTGCTAATTAACGTAGCATACTTGGGGTTACTACACCTCTGTCACCACAGCTTGAAAGAAAGTGGCAAGAGTGGAGATTATATCAGAGACATATATCCTGGTGATGGGGGACTTGAATCTAGTCCTGTTATCACTTCCCGGTGTAGCAGTGCACTTGTAACAGTGGAAAGTCGGCAGCTCTCTGCACCCAGTCAGCGCAGAGACAGTGTGCAGCCTGGGGTTATAATGCACTGTTGTTTTCCATTCTATATCATTTCCACTAATAATAATTCCCAGTATATAAATTGCATTCTATGCATCAGGGCCCTGTATGGATGATAATTACTGCTTGCAGTGCAAAACAAGATCTAGCACTGCAAAAATTTGTCCGGAGTTGACACAACTAGAGTAACTAGAATTAATACTAGTAGAGGTATCCATTTCTCTTTCAGGGAACTCTGTCATCAGACCACACTACTTAAATTACAAATATGTACAACATAGCTCTTCAACTGCCTAAAACATGATGGGGCCCGTTTGTCTTATGACCATCACCAAGAAACAGAAAGCAGACAGTGCTCTTTTCTCCATCCACCTACACTTGATTTTAGTCTCACACACATTAAGTTTTACTGTTTACTTGCTCCCCTCATGGAAAAAGGCTAGAAGATCTGACTAGAACCAAATGGGAAAATAAAGACCTTTAGCAGATAAGTAACAATCTTATCACTTCATGAAGCTATACTTCTGTAAGTACCTGACCTGCAACATCAGCTGTTTCTAAGATGAAAGCTTGGGGAAAACAAGGTATCCAGGATCAGTCGAGGAACTAGAAATTTTGTGCAGAGACGTTGCTCAAGCAGATAGGAAAATTCCATTTATGTTATCCAGAGATATGGGTTAAGAACAATTTAGTAAATGGGCTTATCTACTGCATAGCTACTTGAAGTGTGTGGAAATCCAGTGTGAATGTCCTGTGTTCAGGCAGCAATGCTTTATTATCACTAATAAGGAGGGAACTGTGCTGCCTTGTGCCTGACACTTCACTGTTGGACTTGTGGGAGAGGAGATGGAAAAGTGAGGGACTTCTTGTACTTGCCTGAGTTTCAGCATGATGTATAGCTTAGCTTTGTTTATTTTTTTTCACTAAAACAATGAGAGACTTGGTTATCTTCTGGCTTGACAGCAGTATTGGCCTTGTGTCGTAACTAACGGTTTGAGGGCTGTTAATTCCCCAATGATTTGTTTGTGCTGAAGGACTCCTGCAATTTAAAAAAAAAAACAAAAAGGCTTAAGGTAGGGTGTAACGCAATGTAGACTTTTTTTTTAATGTTGAAAGGGTAGGACAGATCCTGGAAATTCTTTAGTTTGCATGGGTTTTTTTATAACAAATTTTTACTTCTGCTTCTTCACTCCGATATCATATGAACTATTTTGTCGTGAGAATGGTGTAGCATGGTGGAGAATGGTGTCTCAAACCTTTCTGAATGGCAAAGATTGAGTTAGTGGCTAAATCTGTTCATGGAAGATAAAAATTAGGTCATCATAATGCCAAGGTCTACTAAAATAAAATCTTGGGTTATGGCATTGGTCTTTCAGTTTGATTGTATATTTAAAAATAATCACTAGTCTAGAAACGTGGGCTGTTTGTGGGCTGTTCTTTATAATACATATATTTCAGTGTTTTTAATCCTAAAATGTGGGATTTTTATTACCTAATAAGCACAAAACACAAAGAAGCCAAATGTATGTTGATGAATAAGGCCTACATCCTGCAAAAATTAACATACATATTTACATATGTATACAGTAAGTAGTCCTGTTTTGCTATTCACTCAAACGGGACACAGAGTTTAATCCTAGTGTGTAAAATTAAGACTGAATACCAGCCTTTGCCTGTTTGCGGTTTGTGTTCAAGCCATGAAGACTGACAGATTTTACTTTCATTTACCACATGTTAGTCTAGAATAAATCTGTTGAAGTTATTAGAATAATCAGAATTTAAACTAGTTAAATAGAAAGCAGATTTTTGTCCTTTTTATACATTTCTTCAGGGTTTATCTTTTCTTTCTTGCAGACTCCTAAGCAATACAGCCAAGCAGTAAATAAGAGCAACAAAGTCCATCTTTACTGTGCATTTCTGGACTATAGGTATGTTATATAATTTGAAATACTTTAACTTTGTTTAATCTGATTGCACACAGTTTGTGATCCCAGATGTTACTGGTATTCTTCTTATTCTCTTTGATCATGGGAATTTTTAAAGTAGTGAAGCCACTGGGTTTACAACAAATACAATTCATCATCACCTTTTACTATAAACAGGGAGTTTTTATTCAATGACCCTTTGTTAAGTACGCTAATGAGAGACTGAAAAATTTTGGAATCAAAACTAAAATGCAGACTCATACTGATCATGGTTATGATGGTTTGTGAATATGTCCATTTGGGCAGAAGACTAGATGTTTTAAATTGGCATACCTCCAACAGAGCCATTGTTTTCACTGGATCTATGCCTGATTCACAATAAAATACAAGATCAGAACGGGATCCCCTCAGAATATTTCAGAACTGTGAGGTTTTGTCAGTGCATGCAATGAAGAAAAGTTATGTCCCTGAATGCAAAACAGAAGAAAAGGTAAATAAATATAACCCTAAACTTTGCTGAGAAAAAAGAAATTATGCAAAAACAGCAGTTATTTTTTTTAGCTCTGAATATATTTCACGTATTCTTGATTTCCAAGCATACTGAGTTAATTGAGAAAGAATACAAATAGTGTACTTTGAATTTCATGAGGATTAACAATTTTTGAGCCGTAACGGTATAAGCTTAATTGATGTAGCAATGGCCTGCAAAGCTGTGGTCTCTCCTATCCAGCATGCACATGGGAAAGTCAGTGTAATTTTTATATTGAAGTTTTTGTTGCGAGTATGTTGAACTGTCCCAGCTGCCTGAAGTTACTTGTTGCTATGGTTACTCACAGATCATGATAAATTAGAAACAGATTTTACTGAAGTGAATGAATGTCGTTGGGGCATTGTTCCCATACCATGTTCCACTGGGGATTGAGGCCTTGAGGCTCTGCCTCAGGATAGAAACTGTAATATGAAATCTGTCCTTCCAAATGAGTTTTATTTGTGTCAGGATACTCTTATTCCCTGGTGCATGGTCGTTAAAGAATTAGCAATTGGGTTCTGACCTATGAAAGACTCTCTTTGGGAACTCAAGGGGGTCCCAAAGGACAGGAAAAGGGTGAGGTAATAGCTGTCTTTAAAATAAAGACCCAGAAAATTACAGATCATTCCATCTAGCTTCAGGACCTATAATAATATTAAAAGTAATAAACAGCCAGTTGGGAAGCAGTCTGCCTGGATGGGCATCCTATGGTACCTGAGCCCATGGAGCCCTCACAGAAGTTTGAGGGTGCCTTCCACATCCCCACTCTGTCACAGGACAGGGCTGCGCTCGAGCGGTGGTTTCCAGGTAACCCAAATCGCTGGCTCTGAGAAGAAGCAAGCCAGTGAGGATCATGTCACTGCATAGTCCTAGGACCAGGCCACGTGGCCAGTCCAGCCATATCCTCTGTGGAGCAGGAGCAGCTCTTTGCTGCCCCTGGGGATGAAGTGACAAAAAACAGTTGACATAGATTGGTCACCAGAAATCATGCTCAGTCTAAATTACTTATTTTGACAGGATAAGTGGCATGTGAATAAGGGAAAAGCAATAGACATGGTATGCTTTGACTTTTGCAATATTATTGACTAGTCTGATACAATATTTTCATAGACAGTTCTCAAAATTGGGTTAGGTGAAATACCATAAATGGTTTGCACAGTGTTATCAAAAAATGTAATTATCAGTCATTATTTGGTTATAAAACTGGGAAGAAATCTCTAGTGGCATTATTGTAGGGGTCTGATTTGGGCCAAAATTTTCCTTACCTATTTTCATGATGGAACTGAGTATACACTAACAATGTTGTGGCTATATCAACCTGAGATGCCTTTTAAGTCTTTATTTCTCCTCTATAATACAATGCATGTCAAATTAACCTAAATAAAACTTATTTTGATAGAGTTTACATTCAATTTTTGTGTGCTTTGCAGCAATGGAACTGGTGTTTGGTCTAATGAAGGCTGTGTGCGTGAGAGCGGGGACCTCAACTACTCCGTGTGTCTTTGTAACCACCTCACTAACTTCGCCATCCTGATGCAAGTAGTGCCTCTGAAGGTGAGATTAAGAAAAGGAGTAAATCTATCTGTTCAAAACTAAGCATAAATACATCAGTTGTATCCACAAATCACATCAGTAAGTGACTGAAATTGAGCTCATTTTTGCCCAACTCAAATTTATTCCATGTCTTGCTTTCTGGGATGTTGTTTTAATATTTCTTGACTATGCATTCTAAAACTTTTGTGAATTCAAATGGAGCATGAAATGAAACACATCTGTGGTAGGTGGAAATCCTGAAGTGCTGGACTTTATTCTCACACTTTTGGCATGATTTCTTAAAGTACTGGGCAGGCAAAGCACCGGAAGACATGCTGTACAGACAATTACAGAATAGAAGCAAGGCCAGAAGATGAACTAATAAGTACTTTCCCATTCTGATTTTTATGATTTTTTTTTTTCTTCCCCCCTAAGACTGAGACCGCTGAGATGTGGCTGTGTAACTAGATTCATGGTGTAGGAACAGCCCAAATTTGAACTTTTATCTGAAGCAAGCTCTGCTGCCAGCTGGTCTCTAACATTTGCTTTACCAGTGATGGGGAAACTGTGTAGCCCAGCTCTCCAAGTGCCTCCCTGCTGCTGTTTCTTCACCTAACTGCCAAGCAGTAGCTAGTGCAGAAGAAATAACAGAAAGAAATCAAGGTTTTAGACCTGCGAGTGAGCTGTTCATCTACAGTTTCTCTTTGCTCAGTTCTTTGTCCAAAGAGTTAACACACAAGCCTCCTCCTCTTCAGCATGAATATGCAGCTTCCCTTGTTAACCTGGGGCCTTCTACTTGCTATTTGTACTGATTGGTGGTTTCAGCCGAAGTTGGTTGATGGCAGACCTGTCACGCTCTTCACCAACATGTTCTTCTCTTCACAATACTTTGTGATGCCTTGAGATTTTCTCAGAGATGGAGCAGAGTGTCAGCTCCTTGTAAGTGAAGTGCTGGTCTGAGCCTACTGAAGGATCTCCTTCCTAAAACTCAGCACCAGGTAATACCAACCTCATACTGGATCTTAGCAGGCAAACAGTACTCCCCAAGCACTAGAAATAAGGTTTTGCTGCTTTATTTGGGCACGCTTCTACGTATGGAGGTCAAGTCCTGCTCTGGACAACCCTGGGTTAATAAATAATGAACGTAATATAAAATAATTTACAAATCATCCATTTAAAGAAATGTATACTGATTGTCTATGAAATTTATATTCTCTGGCACGTTCTCAGCATTTTACAGACACCATACTAATCATATAAATTAACAAACTGAGAAAGAGGTTTGCCAAGGCATAGCCTTGGCACTAATTTTCTTCTTTCTACCAGCAGCTTTCAGCTTTCTGGAGTCCTCATGTCACATTTGTCACTGTGTGTTACTAGCAGTTCTGGTGTCCTCTATAATACAACTAAAGGATTCTTATCAGCTCTGTTGGCATGGCTGCATTGACTATGAGACCATATCTCAGGCTCCCATTAATTGCTTTGAATGATGGGTTTGCTTCTTGTTTCTTGTTTAATCCCAGATACATGGTGAAAACTCAGTGTAATGCCATTGAAGTCAGGGTCACAATTTAAAACGTCATGATTGTTGTATTGTAGTGACTGCTTAATGAATACCCAGAACCCTTTTGTATTAGCCTATCCATTTGGAGATGGAGGGTAGCTTGCTCAGGTCACCCAGTTTTTAATCTAACAATTAGTATTACTTGTAAAGCACCTAATGGCCCCAGATGGTTTCAAAGTATGATTTTTTTTCTAGGAACTCTTCATACTCATAATAAAATACAGTTTTGCCTGAAGAGCCTTCTATCTAGTGAGAGAAAAGTAGAGTGGGAGAAAGGCATTATTATTAACCCAGTTTTAAAGAGCACTACACAGAGATTAAGTGATTTATCCAAGATTACATAGGGAGTTCACCACTTAAATGCTGGTGTAAGATTAGTTGATTCCCCGATGGAAAACAGTACTCAAGGCTCTAACTTTCAGATAAACAGATTTGTGATTGCTATGATTAATGAGATGCTGGAATAAATTTTAATATTATGCAGTATTAGCAATTGGAGATCAAATACATTTTATAGCAAAGTCCTTGGAGTCAAACAAACTTTCTTAAAGAGATCTGAAAGGCATAAATAGGAAAGGTTGGAAGTATGAATACATTGTCCTGTTCCTCACAGTCATTTAATGGTTTTACTTTCAGTATTTTCTCCCTTCTTATCTTTCTGTTCTAATGCATTTCAATCTGACAAAGTTTGCGTGGAATACTTTTACATTGCTTTTTTCTTTCTTTATGGTAATTTAAAAAAAAAAAAAAAGAAAGAAAGTGCTGCTGAGATGTTAAGTGGATGTGAGAGATGCAGACCTTGTCTGGATGCGTAGAAAACTATATGACTGAGTCATAAGTCTGAGTGATAAGTCTGTCCTTAATAGTTTCTTTTTTTAAAAACAACATTTTCTGTTGTATTTTTAATACCTCCTACCTAAAAACCCAGTCCGCATCAAGAAGAAGGGAATCAATAGGTTTTTGGACAGGAAAAGTGAAATTCTAGAAGGTGAGAGGAATTGCATTACAGTTATATTTCCAGTACAGAATTCATATGTTCCTAGTGCAAATCATGATAATCAGAAATGGTTGCTGCAGATTTCAATGGAAAATTGTGCAGCTTAGGAAGAAAATAAGCATTCATTTCTAACTTCTCAAAGTTCAGCTAAAAACAATTTTTGATTTCTGGATTTGGAGTAAACCAGCAGCCTGCAGAATACACACTGCACCCAGAAAGCTTGGTCATATCATTCAGGCATGCACTTCCACTGGCAGAATTTATAAATGCATTGTAGCTTGGAGAAATCCTGATTTACTGGTCAGCAGGGCAGTGACCCTGAACTACGTGTCTGAGTGGCTCCCTTCCCTGGCCCTCCCATCACCTGTGCAAGATTGATGTAAGGGATGCAAGGGAGGCTGCATTGAGACCAGGTCCACGTGGAGTCTCCGGTAATGCTGCCACTAACAAGTCAGTGAAAGAAGGACTCCGTACCTTGAATTTGCCTTAATTCCTGTTCTTCTGGGTTGGCTGTTATGTAGTGCGCTCTCAGAGTTCATCAGAAAATCTCATCCCAAATCTTTGACCAAGATATCCCCTTTGAATTGACAGTTGATTAGGTACTAATCTTTTTAATCAGTGAAAAAGAAAACAGGTGTCTTCATTGTCTAATTGGTATGAAGTTAGGATTCAGGCAAAGACAAGCCCCCTAGCTTTTGAGTTTTACAAGCAGACTATGCTCAGATGTAAATTCCTAAAGCATTTGCTAAATATTTGTTTTGCATATCTAAGTAATAGAGCCTATTCAATGAACTAGACAATTGAAAATTTCTCCCTGTCATCCTTGGAAGCCTGTTAAGTAAATGTTAAAACGCTGTGGATTTTAAACACGTATACATGTTTACCTACCATGTTCTGAAGTTCATGAACCAAGGTTCAGAAAGCCCAAATACATCACCAGTTTGAATACCAGATTGTCAATGCTCTAAGAAAATTTTCAGTGACGTTATATTAAATCTTTAACTTTTGTATATTGTATTTTTCTTTTCATAAATGAAGTTTCACAGATAATATTAGATGTGAAAAAGAGAGGGTGGGAGTATGCATCTGCCCACATTTGAACAGTTCTATTTAAATAGCTGTTATATATTTGTGGCCATATAAATAGTACTGGATTAAATTTTTCCATGTGAGCAGTATTTCTGATGGAACATCTATTTTTTTGTCTATGTTCTTTTTTTTTTTTTTAACAAAAAGGGTTGCTTTTCATGTTACTAACTTATTGGAAAGGGAATGTCTGAAAACTGCAGAGCTTTTAATCAAAAGCTGTATTTTGATTCAAAAAGGTGATTTCATTCTGCATGGGAATTGTATTTCCATTCCCCTCCTGTGGAAGGTATCATTTCCCTTTCTCTCCATCTTACTGATAAGTGCAGCTGTCAGGATAAAACAAACAGGCAGACTTCCTCTCCAAGGGCACCATGACAGCTATTAACATAATACACCAGTCAGTTTAACAATAAAAATAGGCAAGTAGTTCTACCATTGCTTGCAGAAAGGCAGGCAGATGTATAGAAAGCATTAAAAAAAGGGTGTGGAGGGGAAATGGATGATTCTAAAGATATGTAATGCTGACTAGCACGTATGTAGTAGCTTCAGACCTGGGAAAACATCAGTGGGAAGACAGAAATTGATTGATTCATGAGCGCTGGAGACCAGTCCAGCATAATAGGTGGTCTGACTTTCACGTCTCCTCTTCATGAATGGAAAAGCTTTCCATTAATGACAGATTGCAGGTATTCAAGAGATCAATGCTGTTCACAACTGGAGAGTTTGACGTACTCTCTGAGTTCAGACCAAGCCAAGCTATCTGTAAGCAAGGAATACTGAAAATAAGTGACATTCCTCAAAGTAACCTGCCACATAAATACTTCTGGCAAGCATTTCTAATGTTCAGAGCGCTGAGCTTGTATGACAGCCGTTTTGTCAGAGGTGGTAACTTTTTCTTCCGAGTTATGCTACATTTGAGCAGGAAATGGAATTGGCTTTGCATGAACAAGTGAGTACTGCAAACAGTATTGAAAGTTCACTCAGATTCTTGTGTGCAGGGCAGTGTATATGTGCAGAGTTTGGAGTAGCTGCAAAATGATGTTTCTGAGCTGAAGACAAAGAGCTGTCTTGAGAGGCAATATCTTCTAAAGGTCCCATTTCCCCACTGTGATTTCATTGTTACTGTCCCTTAAAAATGATTATTTTATTTAAAGTTGACATAAAAAAAAAAAGGAAAAGATCCTTTTTTTTCCTCAAGGTACATTGCTGATGTTTTAGATTCCAACAAAATAATGGAAGGAAAAAGACTCCCTGTTCACGCATAGCATAAAAGCATTCTAGGGCTATTCTCAGCCTTGAGAGCACATACTTTATTCTTGGCCCCGTACCCTCAGTACAGGCTCATATTTTCTTAGTATATAAATGTTTTTA